CCCCCCCCCCCCAGCAACGAGGGACTATCTCGCGATCCTGTGGCTGCTCTTGTTTGTGGCGTATGGGGCGCTTGATTTTGAACCAAGATCGGGGGGCGTGCCACTGGTACGCTTCTGGAGAAGTTGGTTCGACTTTTTCCTTCTGTTCTCGTTGAGGTCTCTGGCAGAGACGGGGGGGGGGTACTCGACTGCAATGATTCGGATGGATCCTCTACAGGGTATCGGCAGACGGGCATCGGCGGTAACTCACCTTGCTCTTGGTGTTGTTTCTTGCGCGCGGTGCTATGTAGGCGTATCCTGCCCTTTGGCAAAGGGTGTTACGTAGCCCGACAGCACGGGCTTTTGTACGCTATGGCCGTAGCTGTTTCCCCCCATCCGTGGTTGAGACGGTGGCTGGTTGTGTCGCCGTGTCGTTGACAGGGCTACTGCTGTGTATTTTATGAAGGACTTGTGTGTGAGAGGGATACACACGGTGAAGTAGAGTAAAGTTCTGAAGTCTCACAGAATGAGAAAATACGTCGTAGTCGCGTTAGGAGGCTTCATTCATGTCCCACTCTTCACGAGCACCTCGTTGTGGCGCTGCGGCCAATAGAAGAACCCCCCGACACTGCCGCCTTCAACCTGCGTGTCGGCGGCGTTGCGAGCGTGTGTGTGTCATGTTAACCCATGTTTTCCCGGCGGCAAACCAAACCGTGATACGTGGATGCACCGGCGAGGGCCGAACGAGCTTTTGTGCTTTCCTTACTTGCCCTTCGCGGTGTCAATATTTTTTTCTCAAGGCGGGAACGAAAAACACTACATGTTATTGTGGAACTTGAGTTGGCGCGGACGAATCGAGATTATCCGGGAAGGCAGGCACATACCCAATCAATATTTTGGGAGCAAAAAATCAGAAGAGGCTCGTGAAAGGGGAATGTTGGAGTAGACCTTCAGAAACGGTCCTTCGGGGACGACCCCCTCCTTCACACAATGACCAGAAGCAGATCCATTTCTTTCCCGAGCAACGGAGTTCATAGGTGACTGATCCGCGTCAAAAACAAGGCGACTCGGGCGCCTTCGAACCATGAATCTCGGTACAGCGACGACCGTTCTTCACTGATGTGATGTTGCGTTAATTCACAAGCCCGGTTGGGATCCAGTTTCTGTCGCCGGAATTCTCAGACCATTCGATTTTGACCTCATCAAAAAGTAACTTCCCTTGGTGGGCGTTCCCCGATCTCTACTCTAAAAGTAAGTTGTTTTTCTTCGAATGGTGTTTCTTGAGATTCCATCGACAGATTTTTGTGTAGGTCGGAAGAGGTGTCCCTCCTGGTCCCGTCCGCCCCTCCTTCAAACTTGTTGCAAAAGCTTGTATTAGTTTACGAGAAACACACGCGTCCGTTGTTGAATGCCTGTTCGTAAATTGATCTCCGCCGTGCGAATGCGAAGAACCGAACCACACCCTCCTTCTCCTACTTGCGGGCTCAGAACTCCCACAGGTCAACTGCTGTGTACGCCGCACCCCACACGACGAGGAAAACGCACGTCCACGGTCCTTTATCATGCAGGTCGATGGAGTGTTCGGAAAAAATGAAGAAGCGAGATTTCGCTGTAGACTATGCTGCTCCGGAACCGTAGAAGCTGTACAAACTACATGATGTAGTAGGGCACCGTGCAACACTAGAAATTGATTGCTACTCTGCAGTAGTACGGACTCTTATTTTGTGAAAGAGATTTTTTTATCTTTGTTCGGCAAATATTTTATGGATACCGGGACAGTGGTGTTGGAGTGAATACCTACACGAGCGAAGCCCGCCAATAGTTTGTACATGCGTGAAACACATTCGGGCCACGCTTTCAAAATATTGCACCTATCTCTCTGAATAAATGAAGAAAACGAGGCACCAGACAGCGCAGAGGCATCGTCACCGCGGCAGCAAAGAAAGAAATCACCGTGCAAACATCTCGCCATGGCGAGGTTGTTCGACATGCTCACCTGTACCAACGAGATGATTGATGATGATTGCATTGGGGCGTCCAAAGAACCGATGGGGTCAAGAGAGCGAAGAAGCACATAGTCAACAGATTCCCAGAGAGAGATGCCTAAGCAGCATCATCATCATCATGTTGCTTGAAATGGTCTGGCGAGAGGACGGGCGTTCTCTTCAAAGACGAATAATACTTCGAAGTGGTCGAGAACGTTGTTCACATCCGTATCCTGTGAAATCCCGAATCTTGAAGTGACGGTTCAGACGATTGGACGCGGTGTTGGACAGTCCCGAATCAGGACGATGTCCACAAACAGAAGTAGTCGATATCGAGGTACTCTGGTAGCACCATCTCGTTGCATGATACCGGTCAGGCTTAGTCCTGTACGTTGAAAGTCGCTCGCGTGAACCCACAGAGTTCTGTGTAAGGAATGATAGACACCAATGGAGCTACAGCTGGAAATCGTCGTCCAAAGGCGGGAAGCGGCGGAAATGGCGGCGCTTCGCAGGCTAAACCAAGACATGCTGCTGTTGCCAAGCCCATCTCCAATTTAAAGGTGAGGCAAAAGGCCAAAGACGAGCGATGGCAGGGTAGCAACAGTTGGTTAAGCCTCTGTGTCACTCATGGCCTGCTCTGCGCCTTCTCCATATACAGGTGAGTAGACAAAAGGGTAACTGGTACACTGCGGGTCGTCGCACAACTAACCGTAGTTATAATATGTAAGTACTGGGCGAGGCAAAAGGTCGTGGCGTGCCCCATGGACGCGTTATCGGGTCTGCTTCTCTGAAGTCGTTGGGATTGCCGCAGAACGACATGTCGACGACACTTTTTGGCATAGAACAATGCGAACAGCACTACGACTCAAGCATTGCAAGAGGCAGCGAATGCACTGTGAAACTATGCGTGCTTGTATGTACGTCCCCACAATACTGAAATATATCCAGTCTACAGTACTCATCAATACATATATGCAATTGACTGTGAACATTGTGAGAGAGAAAGTGAAACAAACAGATCGTTCCTGAGATCCTTTCGTACTGGTACTCGGACGTTGCGAGGCACCGAGATACAGTATATAGCTTATATATTTTCCTGAGAAAAGTTTTCGGGAACATCTCTACTGTAGAACGTTCGCAGACCGGTGTCGATCTTGCATATTTGCAGCGCTCGGGGTGCGGCGCGTCCGCCTCGCTGATTGGCTGGAACTACATAGGTGGGCAGAAGATTACTTCCACTATTGATGCGGAGTGAAGCAATAGCACGATTCAGTACTGAAAACGATAGATGGAGTGAACTGGGGAACTCACAATCATTTTAGCATACCATGCAAGACGCACACATCGACGCCCCACTCGCTGGCGCCTCAACAAAGAATGTTACAGCTGGGGGCGCGCAAGTCACAACAGTTGCTGGAGAGCACCACAGCTCGTCGAAGGAACCAGAAAACGTGACCATCCAGGCGGATCCCGCGACTTCCCTTGGACTGACTTTCGCTATTGGTGGTGTTGTTCGGCAGGCAAGTCCAAACATACCTTTTATATCAAGTGACTGAACATACCGCTCATCCACAATTCGACAGAATCTTTCCAGTTAGACTAAATGGTTAAATTGTTTCCTATGGTTTTCCATGAACAAGACGTTCACGTACCCGGCCCATAATTAAGTGGTCCCATCCTTGAAACGTAATCGTTCTAGCAAGGCGTACAGACTCAAATGTTGAATAGGCCTGGGCGATGACACTATAAACGGTGTTTAGTATGTAGTCCCACGCCAACCCACTTATTTGGCCAAGAATACACTCAATCAACGATTTTTTCAAAGTTTTCGTGTACCGAAACGGTGTGAGCGTGCTCTATGTGAAGCCATGTATACACTCTTGTGTAGCGTACAAGCCAAAGACACTGGCCCGCTCTTTCATCTCTCCCATCCCCTTTTTCACACCCGGCGCGCACGTGAACAAGGTGGCGCCCAAAGGACAAGTGGCTGCTCTCGGCGTTCGCGAAGGCTGGCGGTTGACGAACATCGGCAAAAAAACTGATTTTACGGTGACGGCGATGTCAACACCAAAGCGCATTCTCGAAGCCCTCGCTGCTGCTCGTAAGAGAGGCACCACGTACACGCTTGGGTTTTCGACAGGGGGTGCATATGAGGCCCCGAACGGAGTAGTAGGCACCGAGGAACAGTCAGATGTAGAGGCTCGTGACGGCAGTAGGGTGGACACTGCGGTCAGCGAGACAGCCGGTGGTGAGGCGGCTACGGCTGAGCCGGCGTCAGCGAGTGACACAGGAAATAGTGACGGGGTGCGCGTGGAGGGCAAGGAACAAGAAGAAGACCGGAAAAAGGGTGCCTCTGCCGGCGTGGAGATAGGCGACGGTGGTGAGACGAAGGAGACCGAAGGAAATGGTGAAGGACAGGTCTTCGAGGGGAAAGATGCTCCGTCCAGCAAGGCCGAGACGGGAAGAAGAGGCGATGGAGAGGTGACGCTCATGTACGAGATGTACGACGAAAACTTTCCCATCAAGGTAAGTAAGTTGGCATAGTGTAGACATGTGACGTACGGACCCTCCCTCAGAAAATAGTACACATGCCCATCACAGTGGAATGAATCAAGCGAGCCCCGATTAAATGTCCTTCCGACCATCAAAACGCCCAAATATTTCAAGGAGAGCTTGCTGTACATCCTGGTGGCGACGCGCGCCGATCTACAGAGTCTGTCGACATTTTCTTTTATTTGGGGCTGCCACAACTGTCCCGGTTCGGTCACCTGTCATTATTTTACCATCTGATGGCTCGTTAACGTTCGTTCTTGAACAGAATGGATGCATCAGTGCCGCCGAAATTGACGAGACCTACTGCCTGAGCTTCGTGATGCCGAACTGCACACTTCACCTTGGGCCGTTGGGCCCGGCGGACCGATATGCTCGAGAAAATGAAGGAGAGCTTGTGCCCTACCTCGAAGGTGAAGGACTGCATCTCGTATACGTGGGAACACCTAACGTTAGAATTGTTGGCTGTTCGTACGTCCTCCGTATTGGAGGACCTTCGTATGACAGGTTTCCGAGAAAATTGACCGCTAGTCTATACACAAGGAAACACTCGTGTAAAATGTTGAGTTTGAAGTATTTCGTTCGAGGGTGCAATCAGCAAAATGCCTAATCGTTGTCCATTCCTAACTGCATTGTATGACGGAATTGACGGAATTGGAGGTACATGTATCGACAAGAGCTTTCGAAAACGGTACGGCACCCGGATTCTCACCCTTAACTATCACCGCCAAGAGTGACTTTTTGTTAGCGCTTGTCCATGGAACGCAGGTAAGTCTCCGAGACACATTTTGCTGTGCACCGTACGAACCGGTTCCGCCAAGGATGATTGTTTTTTTTGTTGTTGCAAATCTGTGCACAATCAAGGCAAGCCCACGTAACGTCATGTTTGCACCGCTCATTCGAGCTCCTGGGGCTGCCGGACGGTGCAACATCGAGAACCGTTTGTGTTGCCTGCGCGAGACATTAGACTGCAAAAATAATTATTGGACGTATTTTAGTGGCGTCATCCCCGTCCTTTTCGTTGCTCCAAGATACAGCTACGGTATGTACCCGTGACTCCCCCTTCTTGACTGAAGCGCTTCGATCCGGGGTCACGCAGAAGAATTCCTCTACCACTGTGGCACATGTCAGCAATTACTTGACGAGTTCAGTCGTCGTTGCCCAGTGTATGAATGCACGACACGTTCATAAACATTCAGCCCCTCCCTGTACGCCATGAAGGTGGGCGTACTGTAGACCGCGGGGGGTTCACTCGAGATCGCCAGCGCCGTCCCCGTCACAATCTGTTCCTCTGCCACCGCTGTATTATTCCGCCAGAGAATCCTTCAGGAACTTTCCGCGGGCTGGAGGATGGGGAGGTTTATTGGGTGTACGTTTCAAGGGATGAAGAGGAGGAGAAGCAAGACAGAGAGAGAATGAAACAGGCAAGAACACGCTTCAGCAACCTTTTGTTGCAGCTCTCCTAACCGTCTTCCTAGGTGTAGGTGTAAAGTAGGAATATCCCAATACAATGGGCGATGGACCTTTCACGAGCTGCATCGAAAACACATCAGGCAACGTACACACAGATAGACGGCCGGGAGAAAGGCCTACGCGACACGCTGCAATGAAATTCAGTGAAATTCAAGAATAATTCCGCATTCAAGTGCCTGGGTAGAGTGAGCGGCTCCATGGTTGAAACAAGGATATATCAATGTGTCTATGAAAACGAACCTCATCATCAAGGCCGGGCAAACGACAGCGTCGACTGGTAAAAGTCTTGACTATGTCGTAAGACGCCCGGCAGCGGAAATCAAGACGCGAAGACAACGGAGGAAAATATACCGACCCTCCCGCCATTCCTCAAGTTCAACCATCTTTGCATCGAAACCTACTCAACCACTGCCGACAAAAGTTGTACACTATCTTAGAGTGTATTTGGAACTCAAGTGCATGCAGTCGCTGAGGAAAGCTTAAGACCTCACCAAGAAACACCATTGTACTACAGTACTATGTACTCGAAAAGAAGATGAACACCTGACAAGCAAGGTAACATACCGTAACGCTGGTCAAGAAATCGAGCTTCGACTTTCAATATTATCGAAGTATTATGTACGGCCTCCGCCCGCTACAATACCAGGGATAAAGTTTTCCATTCGTGATTCTCGGAATAAACCTTTGGATACCGGGACGTTTCAGATTAAGGCATAACGGATGTTGGGGGGGAAACTGTTTGTTCGGAGACCGCGGAACGCGGGCCGGTGCAGTAGAAAAAAACGCAACAGCTCAAACAGAACAGCTTGTGGCGTCGAAGCAACACACACACCTCACCCGGCGCTGTGCCACCTCAAAGCAGATTGATTTGTTGATGAGGAGATGGACACATCGTGTGCTCATATCTTGTGTATAGTGCTGGCCACGGTTCACACTCAAATACGCCGCTGAACCTTCGCAAGTGGATAGTTTACTTCAAATATGGCAGCGGTTCGAAACGAAAAACGAAGGCGAATAAAACCGATGTATTAAACTGTGGCTATTGGCGTTAAGAACGAGAGGGAGTGGAGACGAACATCGCGCTATGCCCATAGTAAAACCGATCGCCTGTGGCAATGTGCTCTTGATGCGCTGTGCAAGCTGGGAGGAACCAAGACTGCTTGAAAGGAAATGGCAGGCAAGAGAAGACCGAGGATGGCATAGTCTAATGGTTCCTCGAAAACTTGTCTGTTCTCGTCTGATAAATTAGTCACCGACTCACTCGAACAAACGCCGCGGCACTTGAGTGAAATGAGTCCGACGGCAGCCGAACACCACATAAATCAACCAGGTGGTGCAAGGGATGAAGCGAGACTTACCGGAAGACGGCGAGTTGGTCAACCGGAAAGATGACGGGCGGAACGGTCTCGAGAGTTGCAGTTGCGTGTATGGTAACCCTTGCGTTGACGAATATGGCTGCAAGAACTGGCATTCACGCTATGCGGTGGCAAAGGCGAACGGATGGAAGGGCTTCTAGCTCTAGCGTTGTGGGCCACCTTGTTCGTCCATGTGGACAATGTGGAGGATAGCGTGATAGATTTCATCGACAGCAAGTCTGTCTGTGCAACGCCACTTGGCTCCTCAGCCAAGACTAGACGGATCCGAAAGCGGTGAACATGAAGAGCTTGGAAAGTTCAAGATGACCAAACAAACCCTGTTGCTGACGTCGAGCTATATTTTTTGGGGAATATTTACGATGGACGAAATGTTGTCGGTTGCTTTGAGTGTCTCTACGAAAGGAAATGTTGCCTATCGGGTCAGCGCCAGCGCGTTTGTCATGCGTGGCTCCGACGAGTGGCAGAACAATAGATACGGTACGCACGTTTCATACCACAATGACCACACCATGCCGAGCCATGCTTTGATGAGGGGTGCTCGATGAGCCGATTGTTTGTCGCACGCCACTTGGCGAAGCTGCGGCTACCCAAGTGTGAGAATTCGGCCCATCTATGTGGAGCCAGTCTACACATCTTTTGGAATGTTTGACACACCAGCCAGAGTCGAGCAAGGATTGTGACACAGCGGCGTTGCAGATTTAGATTTTTTGGTTTTGCCCCACCTTTCCTCTCCAGCATTTGTCTCACTAAATGTTCTTCGTCGATAGTGAATTCATAAGTATTTAGGAATGAATCGTCCAAGATAGTGAGAGAATTGTCATACTTCACAGAGAGAGATCCCATTTGCTGCTGGAAGGCACACACGAAGGTGACTGCTAAATCACCGAGGGCGGTCGGTCTAACTGGACTAGTCATATCCAGGACAAGTTTAACAGTTGAAGCTTGCCCGCCAACAGACGCTGAACCTTTCACAACAGCACAGTTGCTGGGTCATCTGTCCAAAATAGCCCTCCGACGTACTACGGAGAATACACCTCAAAGCCCATGGACGCAATAAACGAGTGCCGTACGTGCAACAACATGACACATGTCGATCGCGACACCAATCATGGTCCCAGTTGTTGGCTGTCTTCATTTCTAAATATGTCGCCATCGGTTTCATTCGTCTTCTTGAGTTCACTTACTTTCATGCCGCGTTCTGTTTTAGTTGTCGCAAATGGTGCCTTTGATTTCAACACTCCTCACACGGCCCTCGGTTTCAACTGGTTGCCCTTGGTTTCACTTGTTTCCATACCGCCCTTGGTTTCGATTCGTTTCCCTTGGTTTTAAATGCGCTCATAACGCCCATGGGTTACAGTTTGTTGCCCTTGGTTCCAATTCCTCTCATGCGGTCCTTAGGGTTGGAATATCGCCATTATTTTCAATCGCCCTTACAGAGAGTGCTTGGTGTCGATTTGGCGCCTCACGTTGCACTTGCTTGCTAATACTGACCATAACTCTCATATCTCCCTTGGTTTCATCTGCTGCGACGCGGGTCGCGGCGTCCTTGGTTTCAACTCGGTGCCACATTTAGTACTTGTTCTTGTGCCGGCCTTGGTTTGAATGGTTTGAGCACGGTTGCCCTTCGTTTCACTTGCTCGCATACCCTCTTCGGGAAAGGTGGAATTCCCCTCGCGATACCACAAACAAGGCACGCACAGCAAGAAAGACGGACTGACATATTGGGTGGCAATCCCCCTGTGTGATGAACCGCCCCGGCTGGTGCGCCCACGGTGTTCAATTGTTGCGAGACAGCTCGAGGCGTTCTTCGTTTGACATGGGCACCCTTCTTTCACTTGCTCCCATACCGACCTTGGATCGGACTGGGTGCCCTTTGTTTCACTTACTCTCATACCGCCCTTAGTCTCAATCATGGCGACACGGGCCGGGGGCATCCTGATTTCGTTTTTGATCTCCATTTCACTTCCCCTCATGCCGACCATTGTGTCAATTTGGTGCCCTCGGTTTCAATTGTTCTCAAAGTAGCCTCGACCTTGTTTGTGGCGGAACGGGCTATGGTGTCCTTGAACAACAGTTGGCTCCCCACTTTCTTTTCTAGCGCCCTTAGTTTCCCTTGCTCCAATACCGTCCTTGGTTTGTTGCCCGCTTCGTTTCAATTGCTGTCATACTGCCCTTGGTTCAATGTTGTTGCCTTGGTGTTGCTGGCTTTCGTACTGCCGTCGTGGTTTGAAGTATTGCGACACGGTTGCCCTTGGTTGAACGTGCTCTCATCCCACCCCTGGTTTCAATCGCTCTCATTCCGTCCTTGGTTTCAACTTGTTGCCCATAGTTTCACTTGCTCTCACTAACGCTCTTGATAGTGTTATTTGTTGCGACATGGGGTCGCGGCTTTCTTCGTTTCGCAATGACAAACTTTGTTTCACTTGCTCTCATACCATTGTTGGATTCAAATCGTTGCCGTTGGGTTGCTCTGACACACCGTGCTTGGATTCAATTTGGCACCCTTGGTTTCACTTCCTCATTTGTTGCTCTTGGATTTAGTTGCTCTCGTAACGCCCTTGGGGCTAATTTTGAGCCCTTGGTTTGACGTGCTCTCATTCCGCCCTCGGTGTCAATTGTTGCGACGCAGGTCGCAGCGTCATTGGTTTCAACTCGGCACCCTTGGCTTCATTTGCCCTCATTCCGGACTTGACTTTAGTAACGTTCATTCGGTCTTCCGTTTCAATATGTTGCCCTTGTTTTCCCTTTCTCTCATACCGCTCTTGGTTTCAACTGCTGCGAGAGGGGTCGCGATGTCATTAGTTTCAATGAGGCGCCCTTGGTTTTACTTACATTACCCTCTACCTTCCTTGGGTGATATTTGTTGCGATTGGTTTCACGTGCTCTCATTCCGCCCTTGGCTTCAATTTGGTGCCCTTGTTTTCACTTGCTCTCATGCCACCCTTGATTTCAAGTTCTTTTCCGTGGATAAGATCGGAATTGTTGCCTTTGGTTTCAATTTGTCGCGCTGTGTTCAATGTGTAGTACCTCGTTGGAATTCGTGCCCTTGACTACATACAACTGCTTACAAATCGCTGTTCGTTATACGTTGGTGCCCTGGTGTCACTTGATCTCATACGCCCTTAGTTTCAACTTGTTGGCCTTGGGCTCACATGATCTTGCACCGCCCTTGACTGCAGTTGTGGTGACACGGCTCGCGGTGCGCTCGGTTTGACTTTGGCTTCCTTGTTTGCATGTTCTCTTCTGCCACCCTCGGTTTCAATTTATTGTTTTTCTTTCGAATTGCCTTTTTGCATTAATGTTTTCTCTTCACACGCGGGGAAGAGAGAGAAACCACGCCGACAGAACACGATTCCTGTAGACGCCCTCTGCGCCTGTCCTACCGTGTCTCTGTCCATTCATTCTACTGTCTCTCTCTCTTCCCAAAGAAAACAGCCCGGGGTTTCTCATTCCACCGGTGTGGGGAACTCTTCCTACTGTACGGAACATCTCAGACGACCAAGTTCCCAAAT